AGGAGACTCGCCGCACTTCTTGTGGACGAAGAAATCGCAGATTTTGCAATAGTAGCCGTCACTGATAGGTTCCAAGCGTCCACAGCAATCACCTTTCCTCACATCACTCCATGGCATCATAAGGTGCTTGTGGAACAAGGGCAGTAACACTCCCTCAGATTCCATGGTTGTGTATACGTCAGAGATTGGGAAGAAGAAAGTAATAATGTTAGATCTGTAACATATACTCTTTTCAAGTCTATTTCCTGTTCACCTCAACGACGTGCTTACATTACATAATACATATATGCCCACTAGATTTATTTCAATCTTTAAAAAAAGAAAATAGTCAACTATAAAACTCAAAGTTGATTGGCTGTTTTCGGAACAAAAACTAAACAATTCTAACAGATATTTTCAACTACTTTCAGAACTATCAACTTAGCTGATACAAAGCTGTATGATGGTGACACAAATCCAACGCCTGTCTACAGAACTGAATCCCCCAAAAGCTCATTTCACACACAACACTTCAAAGTTTAGCCTGTGAAGAGATTTTGTTGTTTTATCTTGAAATACATTAAGCTTAAAGAGCTCTTTAATGTATTTAAGCTTAATGTATAAGTGTTTATTTTGAGATATCTGGAAACTGGAGCTATTTTTTTACATTCATTTGGACTTTATGTAACCACATGATCACACAATACACAGTTCGTTCCAAGAGTTACCTTATAGTGATTGAAACTTGTGCAGATTTTACAATTCCTTTTTCCGGGTTTAGTTGCTTTCAGCTTGTTACTCGGGAGCTAGCATCAAAACCAATAAAATGTCTCCCCAGTGTCGCATCGAGCTTCTCCCCAATTGAAGATATCCAAGCCTAAATATGAGGAGCAAACAAACTCTTTGATTTGTTCTTTAACTTTTCTAAGTCACAAACGAATATAGAGAAGTTAAAAATGTCCTTACCTGATCTGAAGACGTGAAGCCTCTAATTGTGTTTCCACCAATAACTGCAATTCCTTTATCACCAAGCGGCTGCAAAATCACTGCCTAAGCAGAGAAAGAAACACAAAATAACTGTCACACAAGTACATTATATAAAGAATAGAGCTGATAAAAGTCTCAACAAACCTGTGTATTTGCAGGCAGAAATGGAAGCTGGGATCTCCCAGGATAAAGAGAAAGATTGGCCAAGTAACTTTCTGACAAAAACAAACCGTTTCTTCTTCTTAGATAACTACACATTTCTCACAAAGAAAAAACTTTAAACCGAGATTCGTACTACTTACGTGCTTTGGATTTCATTACGCCTTGGTAAACCGATCCTTGCATCAGCTTCTCAGTGTTTACTATGACTGCTTTATTCTCTTCTGGAGATTTAGCAGCAATCCCTATTTGGATGAGGCAAATGCCATTGTAAACAATAACCAGAGACTCACAACACGTTGCTACCTTGAGAGATTCCCAAGCCCTGAGCAAAATAGATAAGAAAACTCATATCAAATGTTTACAATTCGATTTCATTTCACTGTTTTCCACAAGAACATTCATCTTATATGCAATTGTACAGTAAGAGATACGAAACAGAGCCTTACCATAATAATTCGGAGACTATTGATGCAGGAAGATTGGATTCTATAACTTTACATTCCACACCTTCAGGTTCTATCTGATTTCAAACAAAACCAAGAATGGCATTGCTCATCAAATCATCCAAAAGTCATAAGCACACTTGGTTAGTGAATGGAAAAGGAGAAGGATTAGAGATCTTACTGGTGTTATGGTCTTAGGTCGGATCGATAACCAGACTAAACCGGTCAATAAATTGGTGACGGCCAAGCCAAGCGCCAATAGATCTGCTCTAGACTGCGAGCTACGAATTGTAAACCACACACAAAATGAACAACAAGCTTTTCAAAATCAACTACACAAAAATCGAAAATCGATCACATCGAAACACCTACGCAACAAAATACATGAGCTCAATTTGGTTATTAGATACACCCGACTTGTATAACCAGATTTTTAGTTTCGATTCCGATTGAAGAAAAATTACATGAGCTGAGAGCAATTACCTGCTAGCATCGGCAACTGGAGCGATGCCGGAAACAGCACGATTGAAGAGAACGGCCAGGAGAGAAGCGCCTCCGACGTAGATCGGCAAGCTCCGGACTGTGTCATCGTTACTTGAAACGAAATCCGCCACCAAGTTTTTACTCGGTTTCGGACCTCTGTAACTTTTCGGCTCCTAAAATGATCGGAAATTTTCAAAAACAAAAAGGATAAAAAGAGAAAATACATAGAGAGAGAGAAACGAGGAATCAGAACCTGCGAGGTTGAAGAAGACGCTCTGATAAAGCGCGGGGAAGAGGAAGAGAATCTGCGATTAGGTTTCCACGGGATTTGAATTTGAAGGCTGATTCTCGCTTCCATTGTGAAGGTTAGAGATGAAAATTGGCCGTTGCGAGAGAAAGAAGAAGCTATCCGCATACGACGCCGTTTACCTAAGTGATACAAGACACGTGTCGTATCCTTTTGACCCGGTTCTAACAAAAATATCTCACATCAAATTTCATTTGGTTCATAAATTATAAATACAAATTTAGAAACAAAGAAATAAAAACCATTTCCATTTCCAGAGAAGAAGCGCGTGATGCGAGAAACCGAACCGAAGACCAGAGCCACCACCACCTCCTAACTCTTAAACCACCGGCGACTCCTCCTCCTCCTCCTCCGTCGCCTCCGCCGTATTCGAATCGGAGGATTCTGTTTGGCCAATCGTTGGATTTTGGATAAGGTTTGAAGAAAGGAAGAGATGCCGTTCAACGGGGATCTCGACCGTCAGATCGAGCAGTTGATGGAGTGTAAGCCGTTGGCTGAAGCGGACGTGAAGATCCTGTGCGATCAAGCCAAGGCGATTCTGGTTGAGGAATGGAATGTTCAGCCGGTTAAGTGTCCGGTCACCGTCTGCGGCGATATCCACGGCCAATTCTACGACCTAATTGAGCTTTTCCGTATCGGCGGTAACCCGCCGGATACTAATTATCTGTTCATGGGTGATTATGTAGGTACGTCTGTTCTGTTCTCAATCAAATCAATGACTTTTTTTTTCTCTTTTAGGGATTTCGATTTCTCGATTTATTTGTTAGATCCGTGTTTTATGTTGACGCAACGATCATCCGCCGGATTTTCAAATAGTTTCATATTTGGTTTTGATTTGAGGAAGCTTAATATTGACATCTGTTGATGAAATTTGCAACTTTGTTATACTTAAATGAGCTTCTTGTGACAAGTCACTGATTTGACAAGTATTTATATGATTGATAATCTGAAAAGGTTGATGATTTATAAGATTCCTTATCATTTTTTGAGAATTTCATGGAGAAATGCTAACTAGTCTCTTTAGTTTCACTATCTGATGTGGTTATTTTTCTTAACTTATGAAGGAGGATTAATTTAATCTTGTGATGATAAGCTTTTGTTATAACTTTGCTGTATGGCCACCATTAGCCTTTAAGCATAATGATGTTCATTTTTGTTGTGGCCCTTTTATAAAGTTCAAGCCTTTTGTGGGGTTTGTCTGATTTTCAATACATGTATGGTTGATTTATTTTGAAGCTGGAGCTGATAGTTTTGTGTATTGGTTTCATGTTGTTTCGGCTGTATCTGTACAGATCGCGGATACTATTCAGTAGAAACAGTCTCTCTATTGGTGGCACTGAAGGTGCGTTACAGAGACAGACTCACTATCCTGCGAGGGAATCATGAGAGTCGTCAAATTACACAAGTGTAAGATTTTTGTTCATTGAAAAAATCTATTTTTGGTTTCCTTCTGATTCACACTAACATAAAGTTTCCGGTGTCTGTTCATGTTGCTTTTGTGTGTTTTCAGCTATGGTTTTTATGACGAGTGCTTGAGGAAATACGGAAACGCAAACGTGTGGAAGTATTTCACAGACCTTTTTGATTATCTACCTCTTACAGCACTCATAGAGAGTCAGGTTTGAGCTCTCTCTTCTTACAAGTCTTCTGTGTTTTAACCGTATTCGATTCTCGTCCTCAACTGTAATCCATTTCAGGTTTTCTGTTTGCATGGTGGGCTTTCACCGTCTCTGGATACTCTTGACAATATCCGAAGCTTGGATCGGATACAGGAGGTATTGACTATACAGTTGCTATAAAATGCATTATATTGGACTCACTAAATATAGATTCTCTCTGGCTTTGAATTATTATCAGTTTTGGCTTCTGAAAGAGCAGTGATTGTGTGTTTTATCATCTGATTTGGTTTATGCTCTTGGGATTGTAGGTTCCCCACGAAGGACCAATGTGCGATTTGCTGTGGTCTGATCCAGACGATCGTTGTGGATGGGGGATATCTCCCCGTGGTGCTGGTTACACATTTGGGCAGGACATTGCCACTCAATTTAACCATACCAATGGACTGAGTCTAATATCAAGAGCGCATCAACTTGTAATGGAAGGCTTTAATTGGTGTCAGGTATATATATATAAAATCGGTTTACATATTTCTCGAATCGGGTTTTGGTTGCAAAAACGCTGAATCTTTTGGGGGTTGTGTTTGTGTGTTGATAGGAGAAGAATGTTGTGACGGTGTTTAGTGCACCAAACTACTGTTACAGATGTGGAAACATGGCTGCAATTCTTGAGATTGGAGAGAAGATGGAACAGAACTTCCTTCAGTTCGATCCTGCACCTAGACAGGTCGAACCTGATACCACTCGCAAGACTCCTGATTATTTTTTGTGATTTTTTTTCTTTTACCACTTCAATTTTTTTTTTTCGTTTCTTAATATTCCAAAGTTTGTTTGTTTGTTGCTGTATCATTGTAGATGTCCCTTTGTTTATTCTGTTTTGTGTTTCTAAATGATACCAAAGATGAAAACAAACCATCATTTTTTTTTATGTTGATGTTGATACTGAAAAGAGGTCCCTCTATTATAGAAATGTAATTTGAATTTTAGCTAATTTTGTTATTTAACGTTTACCAATTCAAAGCTGAATAATTCAACCATTTGGACCATTCTTTGTTCCTATTTTTCCACATTTGGTAGTGCTCAACACAGCCGCCACTTGTTTTATTTGTTCCCCGAACCATTCAAACTTCATTTATTTTATAGGCACCCAAAATATGACTAGAATAAAAA